GATTCACACTGACGAGACTTTGACGTTGCTCCCAGAATATAGGCATTCGTTGCCTGGAAGGGCAGATGAATTGATTCAGTCTGTTCCCTGGGAGGACGACGGTCGGTTCCTCTGTGCTGGATTGCACTGGGTGCGAACTGGTTTTGGCCGTTGCCCCTCTTGTAATAATCCAGTAAAGTATAAGTACATGGCTGCCCATGATTATTTGCTTCAGCCACTCAGACACAGGATCGTTCGAGACTCGCTATGGAACAATGGCAGTGTGTTGCATGTTGTCGATCATGAGACGCTGCATTGGGCGCATGATCTTTATGTTGGCGAGCGAATGCAACGACAACGGAGAGCTTCGGCGGATGTAATGAATGACAGAAACAACAATCCGAAGTTGGAGCGCAAATGGGCAACAAATAATCAGCATCTGATCTTGGCTGCTTCAGGTCAAACCTTCGGAACAGCCGCCCGGGTACTGCTCGTGCCTGGGTTCCTGAGCACGTCGCGGCCCAGCCGCCGGCGCGCCACGGTCCTTTCTTTCAGTATCTTGAACCTCTGAAGAGGAGATTCATATAATGGCTTGCACATTTGGCTGCGAGAGAAGGGATTCAGGCTCCACCGCTCTCTGAGTGGAGGCCCCTGCTTTGGGCAACAGAAATTGATCAGTATGCGCGTCCCTTGTCTTGTCCCGCTCTGGCTGCCTTCGAATGGCCAGAGGCATCTGACTCGTGCATCGAGCCCATTGAAGGTTTGATTGACTGGGAACACAGCGTGCAAGCGACGGACACTTTTGTGCCAACTCTTCGGACGTTGTACGACGCAAAAACGGGAGCAGCACCCTGGCTGCCCATTGCCCAGGGCACCGCTATGGGCGCCGCAGGGCCCAGCCCTCGTGGACGTCCACCGGTTGCTTGGGCAGAAGATGATTTTGTGGCACGTCCTCCTCGTGCTTCCCCAGTCCGTCAGCAGGCGCAACAAAATGTGTTCTAAACACCCTCTCAGTTCGGTGAAACCTGCCGCCGGTCAAACCGCGACGACAGGTGATGAGAGAAACGTAGGTATGACCCTTGATTTCACCGCTGTCTGCGGGTCCCAGACCCAGCAGATGCTCGACGGGAGGATCGATTTCGATCAGCCCAATGGACTTGTGCACTCTCATCGCGATGACAAATCGTTGAGCATTACGTTGACCAAGAACGGAGCCATTGATGTGGCGGCTCAATATGTCATGGAGTACACCTGCTATCGCCCGGACACAAACGAGACTGAAAGGTTACAACTGACGGGCGAGGTAACGCATGATGTTCCGGAAGACGTGCGGCAGACCATTGAATGGAATTGGAAGATTCTTGTTCAAGACCTTGAGTTGGGTCTCCGCATCATTCGCGTGATTGTGATTGTCCGTGAGTTCATTAGTTGTTTCATTGCTGCGGGGTTTTATATTGCATACCCTGCGGCAGATTTTCTTGCCCGCGGCACAGGCGTTGGGTGCGATGATGACAAGCGCCTGGCGGATGCATGCGCGCTTGATTGCCGCATTCGGGCGGCGATCAAGACAGATGACCTTATCGAAGAATGGGCCCATGATTTGGGCAGACAGGGTCGCGCAGATATCCGTCGCCAGGGCATGAAGGTGCAAGGGGCTATCCACTGGTTATATCTATACGTGGAAGCAACTCAGCTCCAAGATACAGATGAGGGCCCCTTTCGCACTGCCTGCGGTATGTTTGGTACTTTTGTCGCTACCGCCGCAAGGGGTATTATCAGATATGCGAAAATGCAGCAAGTGACGAGTGTTCGTGAAAAGGGGAGGCGCTGATGGGCCCTCCGACGGCCAAGCCGTTACGGAAGGGATTCCTCTGGCGATGGCGAGGCCCAGCCCAGCTGTTCGCCCCGATCCGCCCCCTCCGCCCCGTAAAACCGACGTCCACGACGATCGGGCCAACGATGGCGTCGCTGAGTCTCCATGCTCTCCCGGCGGTCAAACCGGCGCGGCAGGAGAGGAGTATTCGTGGTATTCTTCCGACAGGGACGCGTGGGATTGGTCTAGGCCCGCGCGGGCGCGGCGGGGATCTGGCTGCTGGGCGCGCGGCTGGCGGCCACAACCCCAGCGTCCACTAGCCGTGCTACAGGGGCGACGAGTTGCAGGGGCATTGGATCCATCAGACCGCAATTCGCTGGATGTCCCGTGAGGACAACGAGCGTCGGACGTGGCAATTTGTGCTTCCCGATGATTACGAGTACCACTTTCGGAGACCGAAAGGCAAGGGGTACTCCAAGAACAAGGACAAGGACAAGTGCGACAGGCCAGCTCCTTATGCTGGCCGTGGTAAGGGAGGCAGGTCGGCCTCGCCTTATTGGGCTGCTGACCGCACGAGAGGTTCGTCGTCTTCGCATCCGAGACCTCCGTCTCCGCCTTCGGGGCGATACCTCTAGCACAGGAGGTGAGAGCAGGCAAGGCCCTTGCGACAAAGTCGCCACGGCAGAGGCCGAGCGACAAAGTCGTTTCGGCAGAGAGTTTGTATTTAGCTATTGGTGGGATTCGTCGGGTTTCTCCGGCCCTCAGCCCCCTGGCAACCACCGTTGAGCGGTAGAATGCTTTTGGGGTTCGCTCCGGTGGCTGTATACATGTGCAGGCCAGGCGGGCTGTTGCTGGTTAGACTCTACACGACCCGCCGCGGGGGAAGTAAATCTGCTCCTCTCCGCCTCATTATGCACTTGCCCCTTTCTGCTGCCTGCCTTGTCCTACCTTGACATTGATATGCAGCTGTTTGCTGCTCAAGCGTTAAAAGGAGCGCGCAGCCTTCGGCCTGCGCCCGTCGTCGGTCGTCGGCCGGCCGGACCTCCTCCCTTCCTATACTTGAGTGCAGTTGCTTAACGGATAGTATCATCAATGTCTCATCCCGTATCCTCTACCACTGAGCAGAGTCAACATGAGACCTTAGTTCTGGCATCTTACCCCGATTCTCAGAGGAAAGACTAAAATGCCCTCCCTTGGAGCTTTCTGGGGGACCTGGCCGGGGATCGCCCGGGGACGGCCGGGGTATTTTTCGTCTGGGGACCCCAGGGGCCGCCACGCGCGCGCGAAGTATAATATTGTTAAACAGCGGCCGGAGATCTTAGCACGCCTCTGGCCCGTTGGGCCGGCGAATTAGAATGCCTCTTCGAACGATTGAGTGTTGGTGCTTGAAGCCGTCTTGGGCAAAATCGCTCGGCTGGAACTGTCTTTGATTCGCAGTTGCGGGCCCAGATTCAATTTTTTTGGAAACGTGGGGAGTGGGGGGAAGGGCGAAAAGCGCCTCGTCATTTTCCGCCTTGGAGAGGGGGAGGAAACCTCTGGGCAGCCGCCCTGGGGCGGTCGAACCTTGCGTAATTTGCAAAGGATGTTGGCCTCGGGAACGCGAATTCCACCGTAATTTTGACGGGATCGTGGCCTCGTGATCCTTAGACCTCGTAATCGCGAATCTTGTGCGGATTATGTCTTCGGCTCCGGGGTAATTTACGTGGGATGTTTGTTTTTGGAGCGCGAATCTGGTGTAATTTAAAATGGATTCTGGCTTGGGAACGCGAGCTGGTCTAACTTAGGACGGATTCTGGCTGCGGGAGCGCGCGTCGGGTGCATTTTATGATGCGGGAGCGCGAATCTGGTGTAATTTAGGGGAGGTTTTGTCCTCGAGGGCGCGAACTTGGTGCAGAGTATGCAGGATTTGGTACTCGGGGTCGCTAGCCTGGCGTAATTTACAAGGGATTTCTGGCCTCGGTAGCGAATTGCGTAATTTGCGACGGGATTCTGGCCTCGGGAAGTTGAATCTGGCATATTCTACAAGTTAATATTGCCTCTGGCGCGAATATCATGTATGTTTTATGTGTCTCAGTAATTTGTTTCGGACCCACCAGAAATTCAGGCAACGCGGTTTCGGAAGGTAACAGGCTGGTTTCTTGTCCCCCTCCCTCTCGCGCGGACAGCATTCAATTACAGAAGGAAACAACGAGGTGTACTTTAACATTGGAAACTGGAAGCTGGAACTAGAGCAGGGTGCAGGAAACCTCATGCCCGCAGCCGGGTGGCACCACAAGGGGGCTGGCGGATCACTCGAACGCCTTCAATGCATCATATGGAATGCATGCGCTTCCCATGAAACATCTACACGCGCCGGATATAACATTTTTACCACGCGAAAGCCAGATAGGGTAAACGAACGAAGGCCATACATTCCGAATGGCTCTGTATGTTCACATATATTGTCATTGGAAGCCAATGCGCTTCTCACACGGAAAGCGCACGTTTCTAAAGTAGAAGCCATACGCTTCTCAGATTCCGGCAATGCGCTGATCATTTTACGTATGATTTGAATACCGTCGGGTTATGCGAGACGGTTTTTTATCACGAAAGCGCACTTCCTTGTATGAAGCCATACGGCTTATAGCATCAGCACCATGGTCTTGATTTCGACATTTCTGAATACGACGCCAGACGCTTCCCATGTGAAACACGCTTCTCATGCGAACACCACGTGCGCACGTGGAAGCCATATGCGTGGCTAGCGTTCGGGCCCCCATGCTCCTCGCACTGGTTCCAAGCCTTTTTGCCGACGAGCAGTTGTCGACACTGGGTTCAAAGGCGATGCCGACGACGACGTCTTCCTTTCGGAGGCTTTTGGGCGCATCTGGAGCTTCTCGTCGCCACGCCCGCACGCAGCGCGAAAAGCTTGCCAGTATGGACCTGGGTAGGGGTCCAGGAACCAGATTTTCACAGGTTAGGAGTGTGGGCCCGTGTGCCAGCATCGGTACTCCTCCTTCTTACTCGCCTTTCTGGGCCTCCTGTGGTCCCGGTGGGATCCGCTTCGGAATTTTGGTGAGAACGTACCCACAGAGACAGGGAGAAGCGGTATTGGTATCCATTTGTTTCCCCATACAAGTCAATTCCATTTGAGGAGGATGCGTCCAGCCAGTCTCTTTTGGGCCAGCTCGAGTGCAAGCATTTCTAGAAGGAGCTGCGGTGCTCGGAGGAAGTACCTATTGGTCTCGGTGCCAACAGTGGTGGCGAGCATATGCCAGTTTGAGGCGCCAGTCTGCGGTTTCGTGGTGCTTGCTGTTTGCTTGGATGACACTGACGCTGTAACAGTACTTCCCATATCCTAAGTATGGGTTTTTTGTCATTGCCGGGACGCCTCCGCCCATTCACTCATTCCCGCCTCCTTTCTCTTTTCATAAACTCTGATCATGTGTGCTCAGACTCAGACTCACGCTCAGAGTCACTCATACTCAGCCTCAACACTCAGACTTACCAATACTCGGATTCAACACTCAGGCTCACCCAGACCCATATACATTCACAGACAGATACTCAGATGCACTCACACTCATATTCATTTCCCACACTCAGACTCATACACTCAGTTTCTAACACCAGAGTCATTTGCGGTCAGACTTACACAGATCACACTCCCACTCAGGCTCGCCTCTGACTTCACTTGTGAGGACGTTTCGAGCGATGCGCTGGTGTCGGTCCCTAGAGGGGGGAGCCGCCAGGGGTTGTTGCACCGGCCCGTTCGCGCCCAGATAGTGGGGATGTCTCAGAGTTGTTTGCTTGTTTGGTGACTCTCCAGCGAGACGCGTTCCACGGGCCCGTTCGTGGGGATATCGTAAGCGGTTTGCTTGTTTGGTGGCTTGGACCTTTCTGGTCAAGCGAGGTGCTGGTTTCAGCGAGGCGCTGGTTTCAGCCCCCCAAGGGGGAGCCGCCACGGGGTGTTGCAATGGCCCGTTCGCGCCCAGGTTGTGGGGATGTCTCAGACCAGATTGCGACGGTGAGCAAGGCGCTTGCTTCAGCACCCCAAGAGTGCAATGGTCCCGCTTCTGACCACTGCCCTGATAGCAATCCTGATAGATGCTACTCTCTTCTCTGCTCTGACAACGTGTTGAAATCACTGGAGGCGGTGTTGAGCTCGTCGAAAGACGGGTCGAATATGGGGGGCAGTGGCTGTGCGATGCTGATCGCACTGCGGTGATGAACAGGATCTGTTTGTCAGCGGGCAGTTCGCTGCTCTGCGTCTCTCAGACGCACACCAGAAATCCAGCGTCGCTGAGACGCTGCAAGGTCTTGAGCCAGAACGGTTTCGGTTGAACCTGTTATGTTTATAATAGATGTTGCAACTTGTTGCTAGGGAAACGGAGGGCCTACTAAGCAAGGCTTGCTGAAACCTGGAGTCTTAAGGGGCCCGATTCGCCGGGAGACGCTTGGCTAGCATACATTAGGCTCTTTTGGAGCCTGAAGCTTATATCACGCTCGGCCTCTAGTGGCCATCTGTCGTAAGTAGGCTCTCATGAGGCAGGCTCTGGGCTGTGAATTGCATGCCCAAAAGCTAAAGATCGATGTTACGGCATCGAGACCTGCCTCTGGCAACTGAATTCACAGAAAGCACAGATCGCGTGAGCGGCTTCACCATGCCCCACAGGGCTGTATCCCCAGCAGGGCTCTCCTGCTCGTCGAGGTTGTCGCGGGCGTAGTAGATCAGGGCCTCCAGCATTGCGTTCTCGTCATCGTCCGATATCGGCTTGCCATGGTCGAGCTTGTCCATACCCTCGGTCTTGCGCTTCCGGGCGCTGCGGTGAAGGGGGTCGTCCACGAGTCTCCAGCGTTGGCCTGATCTGAAGAACTCCAGCAAGACCTTGGCGGCACGATCCTTGGTCAACCCGTCGGCTAACATGGCGTCGCTGTGTACCCAGCGTATCTGGAGGGCCGTCTGCTCCTTCTGCTGTCGAATGCCCAGGCACTCGATGCTCGTCCGCTTGTCACGTAGTCCGAGACCAGCTGACTCACTCTTCTCGATCGCGTTGTAGCCCGACTTACCGTCTGTGACAAGTACGCCAGGGCAGGATGAGATGGCGTCGTTCACGTGCTGCTTGTTGGTGTAGTCCACTTGACCGCACTCCAGCTCGTAGATAAATAAACGCACGTAACTGATCTCGTCTAGGGTCTCAGTCATCATCTGGACCTCCGCACTCGTACTGCTTCTGGCCACTCTTGGTAGCTTGCACGATCTCCACGAGATAGGCGCAACCGTCTCTGTCGAGCCACTCAGGAAGGACAGGGGGGCCAGAACAACGATTTCTCCGCCTTGGGACTCGCCGGTGATGCGGGCGGCCCAGGCTGCATCGCCCCAGCCAACTACGGCGATCTGCTCAATGGCCGGGATGAGCATGACCACGTCGGCGGTGTCATTCATGGTGCGGATAAGCTTGTTGATCTTCTGGATGGTTGAGACCGTGGCCGTAGGTATCTCCGCTTGAAGTAGAGAGACTTCTGCGCTGAGCCACGGGGCCGACTGCTGAGCTCGCCATCCGACTGTACCAAGTCGGCCTCGTAGGTCTGATCTCTCCTTGTCTGACACTCCTTCTGTGGGTTTCCGTCCACGTCGTATCTTGATGGGCTCCACGTTCAGGCTGTAGCTGTCCTGTGCGAGGCTGCAGGTGTAATCCTCGTTCTGTCGAATGCTGATGCCGCACTGCACGAACGCTCGGCTCTCCCAGGGTGTCCATTCGAAAGCTTGTTGAATATCCTGCCGCTTCTTGAGAAAGGCCGAGTTGTTGTGGTCGCCGGCAATCATCATATCGTCGACGTGTAGGATGACCATGCCAACCAGCTTGTTGCCGTCTCGGATGACCCAGACGCAAGGCTCGCACTGAACGATCTCCAGCTTCAGCGTCTTGAGCGTGTCCTTGAAATGGAGCCACCACTTGCGAGGAGCATGTACAAACCCGTACATCGGTTTGAGGAACTGCAGTACATCGTCATCTTTCATGCCGAAGGCCTGACGAACATCTTTCGGCGGGTCGGCGTAGATCTTCCTCTTCTCCTCGTCAGTCTCGCCCTGGAGGAAGGCTGTCACTGCGTCTGCCTTCTCCAGCTTCCACTTGTGTCTTGCTGCCATGGCCAGTAGAAGTTGTCGTGCACGTCTTGAAGCAACTGGTGATTCTGTCCGTATGTCTAGCAGATCGGGGTCGCTGAAGCCGAGCACGACCAATCTGGCCTTGCCTCGAAGCACGTTGCCCTGCTCGTCCTTCTTCCAGGTCAGCACGAAGCGGCAGCGCAACAGGCGCGCCGGGTCGATCCCCTTGCGGCTGAGGATCCTGACGGCCTTCGTGCTAGGGACGGAGGTGCACTCCTTCTGTTGGGCCTCAAGTAGCAGCTTCTTTTCCTCAGGCGTCGCCTTCTTGAAGGAGACCTCCACGCGGCCCTTCCGGGCCTGTGATGCCACGAAGTTGTTGGGGTCGTCCATGTAAGCCATGAACGCGTGCTCGTTGCTGACGGGGATGTCCAGCACGATGATCTCGTCGTCCTCCTTCGTCTCGTCGTGCTGCTGGACGCTGTAGGCGTAGTCCCCGTAGAAGTTACCCTCCTGCAGGTAGTAGGAGAAAGCCTCCTGGGTCGCAATGTTGATCCGCTGCTTCTTGGCAGGTGGCTCGGTTGAGCCAGGCGACCGCAGCCGGCGCTTGTCGTTCACGTCGGGCGCCGTAGTCTCGTCGAGGTCGTCGTCCGTGTCCACCGCAATGGGCTGCTGAGACGTACGCTCCGCTTGATCGTCGTCGGGAGGGGCCTCCATGACGATCTCTTCTTCTGCAGGTAGCTCGGCTACCTCTTGGTGTCCAGCTTCGTGGCCTCCCTCTTGTGGAATGCCTGGTGGAGCTTCTGGCTGTACTGGCTGTATGAGAGGTTCTTGGACCTCGGCCGCCTCGGTCCAGGGATTGCCCTTCTTCCGAAGGCGCCTTGGAGGTCGCGGTCCGGGAAGAGGTCGCTCTTCCAGCCCTGGGGTGCCTCGATGGTTCCACCACCTCCGCCGCCGCCTCCTCCTGGGCCCAAACTCCGAGGATCTCCTCGTGGCACGGGTAGATCCTCGTCCTCAGGAAAGGCCCAGGGTCCGCTCGCGTTGCCCTCGAAGGTGCGAGCGCTGACAGACTCCCCGTCGTCAGCGGCAAGGTCCTCGCCAGTAGGCGGGGACTCGTTCGAAAGGTCGATCACCTCGTTCTGGTCGAGCAGCTTCTGGACGTCGCCAAAGGTCCACGTCCCCGGCTGCTCGCGACGCGAGCGTAGAGAGTCCATCGCCTCTTCGGAGGGCGTAGCCGGTCGAAGCTGTTCTGGGGCAACTCGGTAGAGGCGTCCAGCCAGTGTGATGTTGACCACCGTCCCAGGTAGACCAGGTCGATGTCCCGAGCTCGCGGGCTCGTGGCAGAGTACTCGTCCAGGTCCGTACCAGCGGCCTCGCCCAGGCATGGAGCGAGGTTGGCCCTTCTTGATCCAGGCTCCTGGTGGGAGCCTCCTGTAGACGAAGACCAGGTCGCCCGTCTCGTACCTCTTGAAAGACCTGAAGCGCGCGGCCTCCGCCCGTTTGACTCGGTCGGAGTTCTCGGTCTGGATGTGAGCCAGCCGCGCCATTCGTCGAACTTGGGCGTCCCTGCTGAAGGTGCCATCCTGCAGCTCGGCGCTGATGAAGGGCAGGTTGTTCGGCTCGTCGGACAGGTTGACCGTGGTCCCCGTCGGTGTCCGTCCCGCATAGCGCTGCAGTGGGCTGAACCCGTCGATTCTGATCAGGTCGTTCCTGGCAGCTGTCTGGAGTCCGATCATCTCGCTGGTAGGTACTTCAGCTGAGACCATCTCGTCGAAAGCGTCGAGGGCCTCTTTGAAAGCTTCTATCGCGCGCTCAATCTTGCCGATCTGCCAGTGGGCGTCGGCCGCGCATGGAAGGCAGTAAACTCCCTGGCTCTCGATCCACTCGCGGAACTCGTTAGAGATGGCGCTGCCAGCGGGGTCGTAGCGCATGACCTTCGGACGTCCCATCCAGGGACACCACTTTGTCGCAAAGATATGCCGAAGGTCGCCGGCACGAACTTGTCGGGTCGTACCCGGGATTTGCTTCTCGTCGATCAGCCGCACGTAGAGGATGTCTGAGCCGGCGTCGAGGATCGCCAGCTTCGTCTTCTTGCTGCGACGGATCCACGAGAAGGCGTCGAAGAGAACCTCGTGACCGTTCTGAGGCTGCTCTGCTGATGATGCTGGTGGCCGCTTC